GAGCGATTGTATTGCTTTCAATCGTCAACAAACGAAATGTCGGACAAGAACCCACTGTGCGGGCTGCGATTGACGTACGCACTGGCGGGGAACTGACGCTGACACTCGCAATGCATCCGCAACAGTTCTACCTTCCACTGATAGATGGTACACGTGCTCCTAATCAAATATATTTGCTTCAGGCAAATGGTGAGAACTGTGCGGCCGTGACATCATTCTGAGCACTTCATATGACCTTCTGCGAGTCCTTTTACGCAATCGCCCCATATCTGTCGGTAACACGCTGTCCTTTACATGTTTGCGTGGTCCCCAAAACTTTACTCGGTAGCAAATACGTCATGACGTGGCTCTAGATTGGACCATCCACACGTGTCTTGATAGCATGTAGACTCAACGTGAAAGCATTGGCACGGGAGCATTTGTAGGGGTCCTTTCCTGGCAAGGCAAGGCGGCGGCCGTTCGGTGGCTACACGAGTTCGTTGACATCGATAGCGCGCTCTCAGTAACGCTCCGCGGTCAGGAGCTCCGCGGTCAGGAGGGTATGGAGCGTATGGAGCGTATGATCGATCGCTGATACGCGTGTTGTACCCTGATGCATACTCATTTTTGAGCATAGCGCGATCGAGACACAACAGAATACGTACAGACCTCTTATGGATGGATGCATCAGATGTCAATGAGACAGATTTCACCTGACTGACTTCGACGCAATGGACGACCAGTGATGGAAACTCCCTGCGCCCAAAGCCCTTATCTCGCTATCGCATGTACCCCCAGTCCCGAGCTCTCGCTGCTTGAATTTTGCCTTTTTTCAAGTGGAGAAGCTTCTTGTGCGTTGAAGGGCCCTGAACTCTATCGGATTACATCTCGGGCCCCATAGTGCATGCGTCTCTAGAAGCATGATGAAGCGGAATGATGAACGTCGGTAATGGCTCCGCCGAAAGCACTGCCGTTGGCCGCGTGATTGCGCAGCGGACATGTGCCAAGTTCTTATGACCGTCAACACGTTCGTAAGACAGGTAATCTGCCTGAATGAGTGCGGTGAGCTTCCAGCTACTTTCAGCCCCTGAGTAAGAGGGGGATCTGGGATTCAGAAAGTCGACGAGCTTGACATAAGACAACGCAAAGGCCCGCGAGTATGTCTCGTTCAGCGTTCCGCAGATTTGCATTCAGCCCAATCTAAGTCTTTTCGCCTGAAACGTTCAGCCGCCCATGCAAGAGGTATATCCTTTCTTACAAACGTTCCCTTTCATTTGTGACCCGGTGTAAGTATCGAACCCCGGGCTGTCACTTTCCATCTTTACCGATACCAGGATTCACGGCTTGGACAACATAGCAAAGCTATGTGTCAGCACCGCTATCATACTTTTGCGCTCACGGCTTTTCAAATGACTGGGGTTGAATTTCTCTGTCTCTAGGTGATGACTTGGAATTATACCGTTACACCCAGGAGGCCGCATCACATTCAGAAGATCATACCCGCAAATGAACGACATCTTGGAGTCGCTACTCTTCGGAGAGCGTATGTCAGTAGACTTGGACGCAATGTTCGCAGAATCACAGCTCATTAGAGCACATCTACCTTACCGGGCTGACTCACCGGTGCCAAATTCACCTTAAGCGCTCATGAAAAAGGTACGGTTTGACAAAGTGTGACACAAGTGTGCGATTATAAACCGAAGAGAAACCCGTAATTCAGATAGTTCGAGCGGAGGTTGAATCTCCACCGCACGACCCGGAAGTGAGAAACGACTCACAGTCTTGCGTGGCTTGATCATCCGAAAAGCAAGAAGACCCTTCGGTAACAGCAAAAGCATGTGCTTCCACGCGTTCCCCAGCAAAAGGAAAATCGCGACCTCGCTCTCAGAGGACAGTGGCATCTATGCGAGCACTCAGAAGCAGCTCCTGCAAGGGTGATAAAGGCGCAAAAAAAAAAGAAGAGATGAATAGTCATATAGAACCTGCAAAGATAGGGCAGGCTTTGCGTCTCAACAAGTGTATGAGCGTCATTATCAAGCGGTGCACTATGGAAAGGTCGCAGACCTTCTCTGTGCCGCGTGCTTGAAGCAGTCCAAAAGCGGTCGCATTAACAGCGTCATTCGACATCAATGAGCTGCATGCACAAAAAGGCACGACCGCAGAGGGGGTGATCCAAATTACGGTTCCCTCAAGAATGTACCACAATCCCGATACCGCTCGCGTGGAACTGGGAGTTTTGAGCGAACTAGCGTAAAGAAGCCGGTAAGTGCGAGCACTAGGAAGCCCAGCAGCTTTCAATACGAGCATCGGATGACTAGGCATGTATACTGCAGCAGAGTTCAAACACGCTTCAATAAGGTTTCGGTTAAATGTCAGCGAAGGGATTTGCCCGGGCATTCGACATCTGTCATTCACGACCTTAAATGAGACTGTACATATATCTAAATGGCATCTATCTTCCATCATCAATATACGATCACTTGCACCCATAATACCGATTGTTGCAGACCATCTGCCATGTGTAGGCGGCTCAAAGTTGCATCATAATATACGAAGCACAAAATGAGTCTCAAGAAAGTACGGCTGGGAAATGCGATGAAAACCTCTGGAGTCAGACGGATAGCCTGTTTATTGTCTTCATCCATCTTACTGGAGAAGAGATTCATAGTTCACCGAGTATTGTAAGTATATTCTGCGAATTGGAGATGTACACGTTACGAAACGTGCAAGCCTCGCACGTATGCGGCACGGCAGTGCTTCTTTTCCTCCACAAATGTGATCCTGGTTTGCATATTTCGCACCTTGGGGTAGGCTTATTGGCATCAACAGTCAGTGCATAGCCACAATTTGTGAGCATCCGAGTCGGCTCTCAATGCAATGCTTTGACAATCGATGATGAAATAATTCATTGACCAGGATCTGCATATACGTTCGGTGTGAGCCGACTTTGATCGCGACGTGCGTTCAAAAACATGGTGCCATGTACTGCTCACATATAAGAGATCCACGAAAGGATCCTCTCTATCACCCTCACCTCAGAACCCGACAGAAATGAGCGACCTTTCCAAGTGTAAGTACTGCCAAAAGTCGAAGCCAAAGACAAGGATCAAATGCTATCAATGCCAGACTCCAGAATTCTACGTACGTCGCTGCTCACCAATAAAGACCCGGACGTAAGGTGTCATCCTAATTTATACTAGAATGCCAGTTCTTGGAAAGCGGCCCGAGGACGCAAATTCACAAAGCCCGTGATAGGCCTGCTCTATCATCCAGTAGATGGAACTATGATGAAGCGAAAGCTTAATATTCCACGGTCTGCCTTGATAGAGGAGGGAATTTCAGTTACATCATCTACTTTAAATGAATCGCTGCGCATCTTTTCTGATGCAGGCACTGTAAGGGCATTGGACGATAGCCCCCGCTTCCAGATTCACATATCCGGTGTAGAACGTGTCCTGTCCGATACGGTGCCGTTTATAGCCATATAGTCATTGCGTATGCTGACGCCTCACAGGACAGATCACCGCTGGAGGATCTCATGTCAGACCCCTTTACTGGATATGTCGATGAAAAATGGAAGGGTATCCATTTCGTTAGTGTCTTTCGCTGTGGCGCGTGTAGCATAAAGCTTACTGACTCTAGTTTGCGGTTATGAGAGAGGATGGCAAAGCTCTAGACTCCGATTCTTTCAACGCCGTGGTTGCGGAGTACCGGGCAAGACGATCCCTGAGGCCTGATGACTGAGCGTTCTCCAAGCCGAGGCATTCACTGCAGGCTTCGTCGGAAGTCCAGGTTACACAAAACCTGTGCTCTCATAACGCACATCACTTTGGGTCGGAAATCCGATTCTACTGCTCCTGCGCTGGGTTGAAAAAATTGATGACGATTTCAGACAGTCCTGGCGTTGTCGTAAAGACATGACGACCTTACCACCGTTTTTATGATAGGCTGTTCTAGGGATGACAACAAATGTATGCATTCAAACCAGGACCTCAAGTATGCACTCAGTATGAAGAGTTATGTGTAACCTATCAGGAGTCAAACGTCATGCATGCTTCCAATTGCTCCTACACTCAAGATGTGATTTCGTAATGGGTAAAGACGGTTATCTATACCATGCGTCGGCAAAGAAATTGCGTCAGTTAAGATAGCAAGACGTATGCCAGGTAGATGCATTGCACTTTCGGCTTACACCGACGTTTTGATCTACATCTGAGCCACGCAGAAGATTACGATGGTCAGACGGTTATTAATTCAGTATCCATGTAACCTCAAACTGAAAGGCCTATCAAGTTTTTCCTGGGGTACGAAGAAGTCACAAACCACCGGCGCTGCTGACTTTCTGACAGCCAGCTCAACTCAATGCCCTTTTGATGACGTCTATTGCACTAGCTACTCTACGTAGTTTAGAAAGTTCGTGTTTCTGCTGTGTCGAGTCCTAAATGAGTCCTTCGAGCTCAGGCCCTCTATACTGTGACTACAGTCCCGGCTAAAAATTACTAAGCTAGACACAGCCTCTTGCAAGATACGCTCCATAGCATTGAGTCCATTGAATTGTTGGTCCGCGATAGAAGAGCTCGACGCCGCGTCTCGGGCATGGAGACGATACCCGAGGCGCCCCGGACGCGACGAGCAGCTGCGCAGCACTACGCCGTTAGTTGCGTTCACCCTTCGCCTATCACCATCCGCGAAGGATCGACGAGATTCGCCTTACTCCTCATCGGCTGACATCCAGGGCACTCATCTGCTTACACAAGCCGCGTAGGTACTGCAAGGACGGCGTTGTAGCCCTTCTGACACGACCATATGCGCAGGCGCAAACAGGACCAGTCTTGTCTCAGTCACGCATTGAGGGATTCAGATCACGTTTAGGTGCCCTGTCTCATCTATACCACATAACAGCTGTCCAGGTGCCGTGTTACAATATACTCAAGGTCGGCACATCATTCAGAAAGCCCAAAAACAGTCCATGCTAACCTCTGTCATCTTTTCAAAGGCGTACATCTGCATGAGCGACTCCGTCACCTTTCCGAGTTTGAGTAACAATAGTTCCCTCTGAGAACTGTCAGACCTTTGTTCAATACTACCGCGTCAGGTATATGACACATACCTTGGCTGACTGTCTCAATCTCCAACCCCGCCCTCATTAGTTGATCCGTCTTGTCGACTGATAAGACCTTATCCATGACGGTGAGAGTGGTGAGACCGTTTTTTTGCATTGCAGCTAATCGAGACAGGCCGACGACGTGGCATTTGCGCATTCTCTTTGGCAAGAACACAACCTTAGAGGGAAGCATAAACGTTGTGACACTGTCAGCCTTCCTTTGGAGCGTCTGGAGTATCTCCTCGATGATTGTTGAATCACAATCAAGATGTAGTTCTTCCAGCGCAGAAAATTCCCCAATGATGTCCGTCCAAAGCCGCTGACCGAGGATGTGGTCTTCGATACGAAGACGGCGAGTCTGCACGCCAGTCTGAGTGGAAAGCAAGAGAGCCCTGCATATTTGGACAAATCTCTCTTTGTCAAGATCAAGAAAGTCCAGGGAGTCCAGGTTGACTTGAACACTACGATGACCGTCTATGATATGATCTGAGTCATAGAGGGAGATAGTGCACGGTCGTACGACGATGTCGAGGGTACGCTTAGGTGCGTCATCGGCGGGCTCTTTGTAAAGTACCTTCCCGAGGGCAGTGCTCAGGGGTATCATCCGATGAGAATCGTCATCGAGGAGCACGGGCTGTTGGCTCCAAATTGTAACGGACGACTTGAGGAAGGCAGTGCACATGGAGGGAAATTGCACCGACGAAAAGACTCTGATGAGGTTGTGCCATGGCAATGTCAGGTGTAGCTCCTTGAGACTATCGAGAGATAGTCGGATCTCGGAGGATTCGAGCTCATTCAATGCCTCGGTGACATCTACGTCGACAAGAGCGAGCTCCTGCAAATGGAGAGCTCGGCCGAGTGTGCGCGTGAAGAGATCTTTATATACGAGCTGCACGCTGACCAGCGTAAATGAGCGAAGCTGGCCTGTCCTTCTCGGCCACGGGTAACATAGGCTGCGCTCGAACCTTGCGGTTCGTAGCATAGGTGCGTCAATCACCCCGCCCGTCAACATGAGCTTTGGACCTGCGGTCACCGATACGACCTCCAGCGCGGGGAAGGAGGTGATAGGGTGAAACATGCCCTTGATCAGATGCGTAATCTCCGCGCCGTCGCTCTGAAACCAGACGAGGGAAAATTCGCGAAGTCGAGAAGAAAGGCGAAGAGCGAGAGAGACGGCATTTGTGATATCCTCCAAGCCCATGGTTGTGGCTTTGTAGATGCGGATTCCGATGGGGAGTTCCTTTGCACGCCTCAGAAACCTTTGGGCTGACTCGATGTGATTGTTAGGGAAGCAAGGTATAGATGCTGCCCAGAGCCCCGCGCTGGCATATACTGTATCCTTCCACATGCGACAGACGCGCATTAGGATGTAAAGCGCCTCAAAGCGGCGATCGTACGTGAGATGCACAAGAAAGAAAATGTTCAATAAGATCTCATAGGGTAGCCTCTGTACAGGCGCTGTTTGACGGAATAGCGGTGCCATCTGTGCGGGGTCGAGTATTGGATACGTTGAAGGTGACAGTGGGCGTGCGTCAGCGGCCCTTATCAAGAATACAGAGGATGAGTCTATTTCGCTTTGCCAAGGCACTTGCAACAGAAAGCTTTTTCAAGCCACAGCCTTTGCAGCGATGAGTGGTCGTAGAAGAGAAGCAAGGTCCGTGCCGCCCACTGACGTGCCGACAGGCATGGACTTTGATGGAAGCGGCCGCTGATAGGACACGCGTTTCAAACACCAGATGGGAAGAGCGACGAAGTCCGAGCGCGTTTGTCCAGGTGATGATGGATTGGTGACCGAACTCCCAGCTGTGGATCTCCGAGACTATGAGATCCCAGCGAGCAGTATTCGATGTACAGAGATAGCGGAGCTTGTTGATGCGTGATTGCATGCGCTGAGCCGAAGAGAACCATCTGATAGAAGACAGTTGCAGGTCCAACACGTGCTCAGGGAATCGGTGGCGCACAGCCGTGAGCGGCATCCGTAGGAAACCCTTGAACCCTGACCCTTGATTACGGCCGTATTTTCGCAGACGGGTGTGTACGCGCCCGGTTGGGGAAGTACTTGCCGTCTTTAGACTGGTTACAATGACGTTCGAATAGGAGCGCACTGGTCACGATCCCACTCCATCTACCTGGGGGTTTAGAAGAGCGCATGATGAGTTTCTCCCCCGGATGCGCCTGATTTTTCTGGCCTCTATGAGGTCTAAGGGATGTTCAAGTAGCAAGGACTCTGTCAGGGAGTCGGGATGTGCAAAGAAAAATTGGAGCGCTCGTTGAAGTGATCACTTCCATTGATTCAGCACTATCTAATCGAAGTTGAGGCACCTTTACAGGTTGATACGTCTAGTGCACGTACAATGCGCAGAAGACTACTAACTACTGACCCAAAAGTGACCTTCACCCACAGGACGGCTGACCAGGGCACTGTACGAGAGTATAGAACATGTGTCTGATGTCCCCCGACGAGGGCACTGTAGTAGCTACTGTCTCAACATATCTCACTGCGGAGTGGTATTGTCGTGAAGATCTCAAACGCCATAGCACTGTTCATGAAAACAATGGTGTACTAGAGTACTTTGGCTACCTTATATATGGGAAAGGTATGTGATGAATGTCGACACAACAGGCACGGTCGACGCATTCATTCTCACTTTGTTTGAACCAGAGGAAGGCGTGCGATAGGGACCGAAGTTTGAAATGTTGCGCTTGTTCGGCTCGATAGGCTGTATTCTGAATCTAGTCTGCTCGTCATGCGCCCCGCGGCTCCTATAAGCAGAGCGATCTGAACAAACAGCCCCACGTCGCACACTCACCGCGTACGGGAATATCGACGGCGCAACCGTGAAGCGTCGGCCTGACTTGAATGAGCTCGCAAAACGCGGTCTATCCGTTTTGGGTCACGCCCCCGAGCCACCTGATGACGGGGAGCCACTCAGCATGTCCACCGTGCTCGAGACCAGTGAATGGCCGGTTGTAAGGAACACAGCGGTCCCTATACAAGCACGAGGCGCTCTAAAATGACAAACTCACATGGCACGACAACAAAGTTCGCTAGTCATCGTAACATTCATTCCGATCCCAGCGTTGGATGATGGTGGTGTAAGTGTCATGGGAATGTCATTACCTTACAGTGTTAACTAGGCGAAAGCTATGCCTGCATCGGATGTATAACCTAGCAAAGTGACAGAAAACAAGCGGACCACATCCTGCGAGGCTGTACCTGCACCATGTGGGCGCTTCGCAGCGGCGCCGATAACCAAAGGTCGCACTGCAGGTCGGCCGTGACGTGGGGAATCATGGGTGGGGAAATTCGGCAACCTTTGCTTGTCAGTGCGGAAAGACGCGTGGCATGATGATGGTTGGGAAACTGCAGCATGCCCAAAAGCTAGATCGAAGGCGGTAGAGGGAATGACACCGAATGTTCTGAACGTAAAGGGACGTGGAGGAGGAGCTTCTATCAGTCAACGTTAGTCGACATCAGTCGACATCCGACTGACGTATCCAAGCGTGTTAGCAATTGGGACCAGGTTTTCACATGGTTCGTTCGAGTGAAATTTTTTTTTCGGGTCCCGAGTCCCAAGGACTAGGCATGTGCAGCATTCTCCAGACATGCCTCACGCCGCCATCATGTCTCTACAGAATATGCCTTCAGACATCATTCTTCTCATTGTCGAGCACCTATCTTGCTTGGAGGACGATGTACTGCCAGGTACTTCTCGGGGTACGGCCACGTCTCTGCGACGTGTTCCTATGCTAGTATTGATTACGTGGATCAATCGTGACATACGCCGACTGGTCAGAGACACACCAACTTTATGGGCGAATAAAGCGCTATGCTGCCAGCAACAGATACACTGGATTGCCACATTATGGGGAGACGATATACCCTTGCGCCTGGAATCCACAAAACCTATCCGCGATACCCTTCTCGAGAAAGTTGCCAGTCTCTTGGGGCGCGCAAGCCACGTTGCTATGACAGTCCCGCCGACCTTCCGTTTGTCAGGCTCGGATGCCCAAGAATCAAGCATCTCACTGCTGCGCAGGGAACTGCAACGCGCTCATGGTCTGAAGGTGCTTGAGATCACGATGAGCGGCATATGCCCACTCGGAAATACGAGCGTCTCGCCTCCGCGGGTGTATTTACCAAACCTCATCAAGGCTCGTCTAACAGACTTTCCCTTGCTACCATCGAGCGCCGCTCTTCGTGAGCTGGAATTGCATTCCCTGCAGGGATCATTGTCTATCAGCATGCACATATTGCTCGATGTTCTGCCCTCGTGTCCAGCCTTGCAGCATCTCGTCTTGAGCAACATATTGCAGCTAGGCAATCTCAGAGATGAGATTTTGAAATTACCTGTGTCGCCGCCTGCCCTTGGAAGACTCCAATGCTTATCTTATGCAGGGCATTGCCTGTCAGCCATATCAATTCTTTTTGCTTCTATCGACGCGCCACTGCAGCAGGTCAACGTAGACTTGTTACGCCCCTTTTTCGACACAACAACCGGTGCTTCAGACTTGCTTATTCAAATCTGCATGCACACACTCATGCACCGCTCGCATTCACGAGCACGCGAGCTATTGAGTCAATGTCTCAAAGCATTCGAGAGCGGGGACCATGCAGTGTTACATAACCGTCTAACTGAGCACAACGATACAGCCGAAAATTTTTCGGTCCTGGGGTTGGACATAATTTCGCTTGGCTCGCTTCCGATGCTAGCCCACATCACTCTGCATTATGCACCATCTACAGCTCACATATTTTCACCGATCTCATTCGAGAGCCCCGTGCCATATGCCAGGTTCAGCCTTCACACACGAATATTAGGCAGTGGCTCCAATGCTGAATATCGTTTGACCGATGCTGTGGCAAACCTTCTCAAACACCAGCTATCCATCCCGGCCGCCCGTCAGGCACATACGCTCGTCTTCAATCAACGCAGTTGGACTCCACCGGACGTTCCCACTTGGACTCGCATTCTCACTCGCCTCACGAATCTTGAAAGTATTGCCATAAAGACAGAAATGACTCCGTATAGCGCGCAGGCACTGTCTGTGGTAATCAACGCTGGTCAAGTTCTACCGCACCTGACAAGCGTCGGTGGTATCTCGGAGGGGGTAGCCGTGAGCGTTCCAGAGAGAGCGGATGTTTCGCAGAAACAGTACCGGCCAGGTCTAAGGCAAAGGAGGCGCATGTCTCTGACGCCATGATGTACCTCGGGGTTCATGGCCATGACAATCATGCTGCAGATGATTAGGATATATGGGATCAACACCAGATGTCTTTGTGTCTGTGTAGACATTTTGATTGTATTTCTGACATCATAATACTCGGAACCCAGTCCAAGTGTTGTGTTGATTCGGTTTAGGATTGTATCTCATTTTCTTTTTTTTTGGGGGGGGGCTTTGTGCTGGTCCGCAACCCGTAGATCCAGACTAGCGGTTGTGGTGGGCGGTCTAGGACCGTCCAGTGCGCGATGTGATGTTGCTCGTAAGCCGTTGACGGAGTGACCCTGGAGGAAATGCGTTACGCACGTTGTGTGGGACTACCCATTGTTCATTAGTTCGGGCTGCTGGCCTGACCGGCTACACACTAAGACCCCCGTTGCTAACGTGACCCAGTCCACAGCTTTAGAGTTTTTGTTGTCAATGAGTTTGGCCCATGTGGCCTCTACGAGTTCTTTCCTGTGGGCGTGTTTCGTGAACTTCTTGCTCGTCGCCCGACAGTCAAGCTCGATCTCGCTTCTCCATCTCTTTTATACTTCCTGGATGTGGATTTCGTCCTCGTTGATTGCCCGAAGGCATCGAACATTCCAGATCACTCTTACGGGCCGACATGACTATTATCGCGAACAGCCTTTTGGCCGGTTTGTCTCGCTTCCTTCCTGTCTTGAAGTGTAGGATGCCGGAGTCTAATATGATCCCGTACTTGTTCCCTTTGGGCCAGGGGTGGCCTGTGTGCTCCCACATGTCTTTAGCTAGTTCCCATACTACATCCTGTCCAAAGCCTTCGCACTCGGCGATAATGTGCTCCATTGATTCACAGTCGCCGTCGCACCGCTGACCCTTGCTTTCTTCGTCCATGTTCGGGTTGGACATGTTCGTCCGGTACTGACCCGCTTGACCCGTTGTGGAGCATGTTCCAGAGGGGCGGGGTTGCGTGTTGAGTGCCACACGCTTTTGGGTGTTGCGATTTTGCTGTTGTGGTCGAAGGCTGCTTGCGTCGCCATCCCGACTCGTATCCAGGTTGGGCGCCGTTCTTTTCCTCCCGATTAGCGTCTAATGTGGCGATAGAAGAGTTTCTGGGTGGCTTTTGCCAGTGGGATGCCTCACGATTTCCAGGGTTCGTGTTCCTGTCCTGCAATGACCGGTTCGTATTGAGGTGCGGGCTGTTGTAGCATTTTTTAGCAGTGGTGCTAGTTTGGGGTGCCGAACGCACGTCAGCGTTACTTGTGTTGGCGCTGTTCTTGGTTCAATGGCGGGTCTGGGATGGCAGGGGTGCGGTCGTTTAGTTTCCGTGTCTCGAGGACGTCATGTCTGAAAGTAATCCTCCCGAAGGGTACAATACTGGTCCTTGCAATCTTGAAGCGGTCTCTGGACGCTTTGCACCATCGTTGGAGACTGAGTTCCAGTTCTGCAAAGGAGTTTGAGCGGTGTAGGAAGACTGTTGTGTCGTCTGCAAAGAGGTTCGCGATCAGGCGTGGGATGCCATCTGTCATTTCGATTCCTTTCAGGGTCGATTGTCTGTGTATTTCTGCTAGCGGGTCAATGGCGAGAACAAAAATGAGGCATGAGAGCGGGTGGCCTTGCCGGACTCTTTGGTTTACAGTGAAGGGTTGGCTGAGTACCCCGTTCAGGATGACTCGGGAGGATGATTGGGCGTACAGTTCTTCGACGGGTTGGATCCACTGCTCTGTGATTTGGTATGCTCGGACAACTTGCCAAAGGTATTTAAGGTCGATCTTATCGTATGCTTTTTCTTGGTCTAGAAGAACGATGACACCATTTTCATTGAAAGCTTTTCCTTGCGCTGTTATGATGCGTGCTAGGGCAACGTTGTCAGATATTGAGCGCTTCGATATGAAGCCTGTCTGGTCATCGGGACTAGAGTTGTGATGACGCTGGCGAGGAGGACTGATTTTTATTTTGTGTAGAGTTTGTAGCCCGTGTTGAGGAGGGTGATCGGACGGTAGTTTGGGGAAAGGTCTAGGGGGACCTTCTTGTGTATCGGGCATAGGAGGCTCTCATTCAGGTTGGCAGAGGCGCAGTAGCCGTGTCGCTCGATATCTCGGAAGGCGGTTTCCAGGAGAAAAAGGGGGTCGGTGTATGGTGCTCGTTCTTTGAGCATTTGCTTCGTTCGGTTGTGGAAGTGCTTCCAGAATTCGTACGGGAGCCCGTCGAGTCCCAGGTATGAGTCGAATTTTGTCAGTATAAGTGTCTGAGAGAGGTCGTCAAGTGTGTCTGTCTTGTTTAGCGCATCGTCGGGTGAAAGACGATTCGGAATGAAGTTGAGGGCATCTTGTATGCCATGTTCGTGTATGGCGGGGGACTCCGGCGGGCCTTGTTGTTGGAGTTGGATGTGGATGACGGCCATTTTTTGTGCGATTTGTTCCGAATGAATGACGTGCGTGTGGTTTCGCTCCTCTTCTCGTTACCTTCTTCTGGGTATGATCTCCTGTGCCGCAGGTGGGGCTTGGTTGGGAATGCCCTGTTCTTGGAGCACTGAGTGTCGGCGGTTGCGTTCTTCGGCGGCTTCGGGGCTGTCAATCTTCTCCAAGCTTGTGAAGATATCCCTCGGGTGGTTTGGCTTGTTAATGGCGGATGTGTACTTGCCTGGGTGGTGCCCCTTGACGAAATGGGTGGCTCGGACTTTGGCTTTGTGGGCTGCCGCTCGCTCGGCCAGCAGTGTTCGCAGACGTGTGTCCAGCCGAGAGAGCTCGGGGGAGGTTACTTCCCCTTCTGCGACGAGGATTGAGCGGGCTGCCGCACAATCTTTGGTTTCGGGTTCGAGGTCTGAGGACTTCTTCATTCTGTCCTAGGCTCTTAGCCGCCGTTGAACTTCAGCTTTGAAGTCTCGGAGGATTGTTTGCGGGTTGAGGTCGCGAGTGCGGGGCATGGTCTGCTCGAGCTTCCGACCAGTGCTGACCAGGAGGTCGTCCACGATCTCATTCGCGCTCGAGTTTTTGAAGGGGATAGACCATACTCCCTTGCCTAGCTGCGGGGCGTCAAGCCGGTCGATCTCGGTAAGTACTAGGAGGTGATCTGAGTCGATAGCGGTAACCTCGATTGTTGTATTCTGTAGGTATGGTAAGACATCTACATTTAGATATGTTCGGTCGATGCGGAACCATTCCGAGTGGTTGGGTCTATGCCACGAGTATGCCCGGGTGTCCGGGTAGAGGGTGCGTAAAGTGTCCTGGATACGGAGTCTTAGCTTCAGTAAAGTAAAGACCTCTACGACTCGTTTGTTGTTATCGTTGTTGGCTGAGCGGTAGTACCTTCTTTGACCATGTTGAAGTCTCCCGCAACGAAGGTTGGGCGGGTGAGCCGTGCGTCGTGCTCGTACGACGAGTCCAGAAGCTTGTGGAATTTGGGTTTCTGCTGAACTGCCGGCCGGTGCGTATATGTTGAGGGCGGTTAGCGCCTGGGTTTCCTACCATGGAATTGAGATTTGGGCCGCGCGTCCAGTGATGACGCTCTTCATTTCGGCATTCATTGCATCTACAATGTCAGTGTTGATCAGGAATGCCAGTCCTACTCGCTAGGTCTCGTGTCCTGGGATGGCGGCGACAATTACTTTCAGGCGAGGGTGGTACCCCTGTACTTGGTCAGACTCTTCCTGAGTCATATATGTTTCTCGGATCAGGATGAGCGCGACCTTGTTTTCTTTGATGTACAAGTGGAGGTTTTGTAGTTTGGGGCCATTTATTCCACCTGGGCCTTTGCCGCGTTTAGATTTGCGTCTGACGCGGGGTGGTTTGTCCCTTTCCTCCTCGTTGTCTTGAGGAGGAGCTTGGGCTGGTGGGCTCAAGGGGATAGCGCGGTCGGTTAGGTTTGTATCTTCGACTCCCGGGCACGCTAATATCTCAGAGACATGTGACACGTTGATCACCTTCGCGCCTCGCAGTGATGTGTCGGATAATTGCTCGTCAGTGAAGAACGTAAGAAGCATCATATGGGTATGGCATGTATTCAGCTGCTACTATGACAAAAATAATGAAAGCATCCAACTCCCTCACGATGTGAATGATGAACCCGGAAAACCGACTCTGGTACACGCCTGGTCTCAGCTACGATTTACTGTACTCGTGGACAGAACCTCAACCCGTTCATTTTTGAGGAGAAGTATGAAAGATGATAGGCCACGAACGACGTCCGTACTGACGTTATTCATTCACCGGAGGTGCAGCATTCCCATTGCGTCAAGACAAGGAGTTTTTGGGCGCACTGCGAGCCTCCCACTGGCATTTTTATTATTCGACATTAGATATGTGATGCTGGTATCTGTACGTACAGCCATTAATCAAAGCGCTCTCACTTATACCTATGAGGCACATTAATCATTCAACTAGTCACACTTCTAAAGTCATGCATATTCTCAGCTCTTGCTCGGCTGCTGGCATCATAGCTGGTTTCCCGGCTGTCCCGCACAACACTTACCTCAGATCTGCGCGACCTGGTGCGGGGACTTAGATCATTTGAGAGCCAGAGAGTTCAATTGTGCTGTACGTAGCACTGGGCTTATCAAGCCTGTGGACGACTAGTGGATCCGAATCTGGAGCATTACGTCGTTGAGTTCGCCAAGAAAGTCAAGCTCCTGCTACCCGTGCGCCGATTTTGCGGAAACTGAAATGCTATACATAGCATGGCTGTAATTACTTTCACCCCTAGCTCAGGTACAGTGTATGCAGTGTGTTAAGCCAGATCAATCACGACCTTTGACATCTCTAACAGTCAAGAACAACTTTCTTCGCACAATCGGGGTCAAAGCAATCTAGATCCCGCAAAGTATATCAAATGTCCGAATCATTTACGTGCCTGTGAGCTCGCCAAGGGCCCTAACCTTGCCGATGAATCGGGGACTTCCATTCAAGAAGCACCCGTAGTCATGCTCACGGAATTAGATTATGTCGGGTGTTTTATAAAGTAATCAGCTATCATAGAGGATCATTCTCGACATAGTGGCAATGTTTCCAGCTTGAGGCGCATGCCGGTCAAGCATACTACATGCGGAAAGGAAAGAGTTTGAATGGGTTCCTGGCATGCCCTTCACGTCTCCATATGATTGTTCTCAGAAAGCACATCTTTCCGATATTGCATTTGACAAGACAACAACGAACAATTTCAAACGGCGTAAAAACGTGTCTTCGGCAGCAGGTACGGAAATGAGAATTCCTTTCGAGCTTAGGGAGCCATGAGACCTTACTTGGAATGGGCCTTCGATTTTTTTCAAATAGGTGTTGCGCGCAGGTTCCAAAGAAGTATTCCCTCTTCTCCGCCCCTTATGAGTGGGATTGGATTCTTCTTTGTCCGTTGTCACCGGGGGGCTACACGTGAACCATCACTGCGAAGTACCTCATTCCTTAAAAGCTGGGAGTATTCATTGCAACCCCTGGACCCGACGACCCAGCATCATTCACAATTCCTCTCTCATATGCGTACTCCCAAACAGCTCACGTCTCCATATTTCCCCCCACCGAAATCCAAACGGGGGAGAAAACGTAACGACAACCTCCCACCGAACCGTGCGCGTGATGTCCAGCGGGCGTTTCGTGCCCGTAGGGCGGCTCACCTTGAAGTATGCATGTCTTCACGACTCTCCCAGCGTTTTCCTGAACATGCACTGACTGGAGGTCATTGAACAGGCGCTTGAAACTAGGCTCGATGAGTTAGAGGCCGAGAATGGCAACTTTCGTAAGGAGCTAAAGCTGCCACCCGCCGATCGTCCGATCCTAGGGAGGGGACCTACGGGAAACGATAAGCCGAAGTCAAACCGTGTAAAGACACCCCGCACGGTGCGACGAAAAGCCGTAGAATCCATGACGAGATCTAGGCTTGAATTGGACAGCAAGGACGTGGATGTCAAACTGCATGTTCCTCAGAATGGGGCAGGCGTTGCTCCAACCCCATCTCTGGATACAGTGTTGGATTTGAAACCAATGGAGGCCAGTACGGAGAAGGAGACCATCGATCAACCGATGCAGCCAACTGTACCCGGGTTAACACATCTTGTCGTGAACCAACCTAGCCACATGGACGAAGAAGAAGTCCCCGCAACCCCTTCGTCAACGGTCTCCACGGTCCATGATTTGAGCCATTCCAATGTGCAGCCTGCCGTAAGAGCTCAACCGCTGATGAGGCCAGAATTGCTATCACGGCCAGGGTGGCAGGAGCGCCGGGGACAGAATATTTCCAGTTATCACACCGGAGATCACGCCTTGCATCATCAACAAGCAGCACATTATCACCGCCCGTCTTTTGGAAGCACATATAACACGACGAGATTCCCCGTCGGCACTCACACAGCCCCTTACTACGCCAGACCGGCGACATATTCTTCAAAGTACGGTCTGTACCACGGATGAAGGATTTAGTTGGCTCCCTTAGGTCGCGTGTTTGTGCTGTCGCAACTCCCATGTTTACTTTATATCTGGCTCTGTTTCATCAGGAAAAATTGCGAGGCGATCGTCTCAGTGTATGTCAGAGTCAACCATAACATAGTTTTAGCACTTCCGTAAATCATATTGAAGTCGCATGCAGTGCTCACGAAGGTGTGAGGCTATTTTGGCAGTAACAGTGATAGGCAGAGCTTGCGACAAGCACAGAGCACAGTTTCATCGCGCATTCGTTGCTCTGGGAGGCTCCGAAGATAAAAAAAAGCCGGAACCCTCCCACTGAATATTCTATCCTAGATGCTGCCCTAAATATTCCAAAAAAATAACTGTAACGGGATGCAGCACCTTTTCACAACACAAGAGCCACAGAAGAAGCCCCCGATTGGGAATAATGAACTGTGACTGTTTTGGAATTGAAAAAGCCAGAACGCGACCGATCAAGAGCAACTGCTTCTATATGCTGCACGTGCAGCCACAAAGACGCAGGAAAATACACTCATACACATTGAACTACTGTTTGTTATCTTTTACTTCAGCCGCTGCAATAGTTGGCTTCCCGGTTTTGTCCAGAACACAGTCCTTGACGAACGCCAAAACTACGATATTCGAGAGTAAGCAACAAGTGTATTCTACTAAATGTTCATTTAACTAGGCCCTGACCAGTTCGGGACAGCTCTATTAGTAAAACCTAGGGTAATGATGGCATGACTGGCCAGCTTGATGCTACGTGAACTGAGCAGCTGCTGAGACCCGGACTATTCACCGCTGGTCGGTCATGTTGCCGATAAACAGTCCATTAAGCCGTGCGCTACTCTCGAAACCCCGAGCACCGTATCGTCTTGGTACCCTCCTGTTTAGGGGCGAAAGTTTAATCCTTTTGACTATTCCGCTTATCGACAGAAGACCGAAGTCCACATCATCCAAGTAGTGAATACAAGCTCGTCAATAGTTACAGGTGGACGATCCTTCACATTTGACAAATTTTGCTGAGTGTTATATACCATTTCTGCTTGCACGCGGTGTAAGTCATTTTTTTGAGAGCCGCCTGAATATCACATGAAGACCAACCTATTTGTTAGGGCAGAGAATTCCTTGGGTCAATGTGTATGTCTTTTGCTAAAAGAACGTCGTTCGCATTAATCATTGGCATTACTCATTGGCAGATGTATTTGGTCTTGATATTGGTTGCTACATAAGCCGGGTGTTATCTGAAGGGTGCGGCAGATCTTTATCTGAGAGCTCATGCAATGAAGCGGAAACCGGACACGATCCCCCACAGTGTATCGTCTGGTCCAAAATTGAGCGGGCATTTTGTTTCCGGTGAATCATCGCCCTCAGTAGCTGCCGCTCCGTGCCGCATAGGCAAGCGTCAAGGAAGGAAGCGAAAGCAGAATGATAACCTCAGTTCAGACTC